ACTTTTAAATTAGATTTTTACATTATTTCATAGTCTTTGGAAATCAGAAAACATGATCAGAAAGTGATTGTAGCTAAGGGCTAGTCTTTAGCCTAGTAATTGAAACAGATTAATGGAGTACGTTGGAAAATCAAAGCGTTTTGCCTTCGGTATGTTAAAGCTTTATTTGACAATACAAAGAACATAACAAAAATTACTACAAACCAAATACATCACTGAAAACCTTACAAGTATGATTTCTCTGGTGATTATTAATACTACTTTCACCAGCATCAACTTCATCTTCCACCTCGAACCCTCCTTTGGCCTTGCCTGAACCTTCTCCTATGCTTTCTTGCTCGCCTTTCCAGATCACTGAACCATTTGATTCTCATCTGACTGAATATTGTATATCCAATAGAAAAACCAATTACTAGTCCACTTGCATATCCCATCCCCACAATTTTCCAATCAAGTATGTACTTTGTCCATGAATCCTCATCGTTAGCAAGTACTGGGGGAGGCATCGGTGCTGCACCAACACCGCATTTCCTTGTCAGAGGAGGCCCACATAATCTTGGGTTCCCTTCATAGGAAGTGTTTGGAAATGTACCGAACTGGTTGCCTTGAGGAATGCTTCCCTCCAGTTGGTTGTATGAGAGATTCATTACTGCAAGGAAGGTTAGGCCTGTAAGTTGCGAAGGAATCTCACCTGAGAGTTTGTTGTTTGAGAGGTCTAATGACTCCAGCTCTGTTAGGTTCCCCATTAGTGATGGGATTTTGCCATTGAAGCTATTGTGAGACAAGTTTAGAACTTTGAGTGATTTGAGGTACCTTATCTCTTCAGGAATTTCTCCATGAAATCTGTTTTGAGACAGATCAAGACAAGTGAAGATGGTCAGTATTCTCTCCATTGACATTTCCAATCCCTTGTTCATAATAGTCAACGACTCCTTATAGTAGTAGCTACCGTCGTAGTTATCTCCGACATATGTTGGCTTTGATTCATTGTTGCTAGTCGCTTGCATTGCTGCTAGGCTTTGAACAAATTCTTTTGAAAGATGACCAGTAAATTCATTGGAAGATAGGTCCAGAACATGCAGCATTGGCATAATGTTCACAAGACCAAGATTCCAAATTTGACCATGAAATTTATTTGCTCGCAGTACAAGAATCTTCAATGCTGGCAGCTTTTCCAACCACAGTGGGAATGCATCACGTATCGTGTTGTCTCCCAGGTCCAAAACCTCTAGCTGTGAGCAATTGGCCAAGGATCTTGGCAACTTTCCTTCGATTTTATTGTCATTCATTTTCAACGACTGCAAATTGCATGCTTGTGAAAAACCGGGCATGGTAGTGAAGTTATTTCTCTGAAGGTTCAGCACGTTGAGGTTTTGCATATCTCCCAAACAATCTGGGATTTGACTACTAAGGTGGTTATAGGACATGTCGAGAAAAAGGAGTTCACTGAAATTGCATATTGCTTTAGGGAATGAACCATGCAATAGATTGTCACGAAGATCAAGAATCATTAAGGATACGGCCGGGATGGCCGCTGGTGAAATTTGGTCAAAAGAATGAAGGGAGTTCTCAGAAAGGTTTAGACGCCATAGACTTGTAAAATTCCATATCCAGTTGGGTATTTGACCACTGAGTTTGTTGTCGGAAAGATTCAGTTCTTCTAAGTTGCGCTGGTTCTTAAGAAACTCTGGAAAGCTACTTAAGTTACATGAACCCATGCTCAAACTACTTAACTGTGGAAAGGAAGAAGTTGCTTCACAATTGAAGATTGACCTGCTATTGTTTAGCATGCAAAAAGGAGGATATTTGGGAAAATCAATAGGATTGTGGGAAAGGTCTAATGTTTGGAGATTTCTTTTCCATATCCAACTGGGCACATAACCTTTAATTTGGTTGTTAGAAAGATCTAGAAATCTCAAACTGTTTTGTGCTTTGAGAAAATTTGGAAATGCAGTGAAGTTGCAGGATCTCAAAGACAAAAATACAAGTTGGACAGAAGCAAGACTTGTGTTATCACTTTCGATTGATACTCCAGAAAGACAGAGATCTGTTAAATTCCTTTGATTCTGGAAATTGCCTAGCTTCAAGGAGCCGTAGAAGTTGTTACTACTGAGATCAACCTTTATAAGCCTTGGGAGTTCACAGATTGACCTTGGTATTGGTCCTTCAAAACCATTTTGACTCAAGTCTAAGAATTCCAACAAGAAAGAAGATGCATTTGGGAACTCATTTAGCTCTCCGCTGAATTTGTTGGATGCGAGATTTAATACCTCTAAGGAAGGAAGAATGAATAGTGAAGAACAAATAGGACCAGAAAGGGCACAATTATACAGAGTCAGGACCCTAAGGTTGGGAAGTAAAGGAGAGATGGCTTCACACCAGCTGCTACTTTGTGCTGAGAGGTCTACATCAGCTAGAATGATCTCGACTAAAAAACTCAAATTCTGGAAAACCAATTCAAGTATTGGGTTTTCAAGTTTAAGCATTGGAAAACCACTCAAGTCAAGTTGAGTCACAAGACCATCACCATTACATGCAAGCCCCTGCCAAGAGCAACAATCTGTTGTCAGGTCCCACAAGTCAGCTTTTGAATAGGAATGTGTAGTAAAGGAGTATTCAAGAAGGTTTTCTTGCAGTTGTACCAAGGAAGATTTCTGGTGATAAAGGCATTGGTGGTGGGTAGCTTTGGGATTTGTAGACAAAGATGAAGCAAGACTACTTGGGTGGAGTAACAAGAAAAGGAGCAAGAGTAAATGATTAACATCCCTCATCTTCGTTTTCCTCCGCAGAAAAACTGCTATTAGCAGAAGTTGATACTTAATGGTTTAGATGATTGAAAATATATAGCAGAGGAGATAGAAATCAATGTTTGGGAAAACCACGCTCCTTGAAGTTTCCCTATTCACATCACGATCCTCATTTTTGTAGGAAAGTTCAGGTGGGGTCCCCATATTTGCCGCCTTAACTATAAAATAAGTAAAGAAGTTATCAATTGTTTATAAGCTAATTTTATAAGTTATGGGTTATTAACGCAAATCGAAGAAGAAATAATTGTTCTTTGGAGTCGTTTCATGATACAATTTTTTTTAATATTAATTTACACTCAAATCTCAATTATCTATTTTAAACACATTTATTTCATGATAAAATTATTATAAAAGAGATCACATCATTTCGTAGGGAAATTAATTTTTTTTTTTAAATGATTGTAACAGAAGTATTTAATTAAAAAGTAAAAATATTTTAATGATAAAATTGAAACAAAAACTCTTCCGTCATGTTACCAAGCATATACCGAGCAGCAAACCATAACAATTCGCTGACTCAGTCAACGAATTGGCCGTCCTAAGGAAATTGTTAAGATAAAACTACAAAAGAATTAAGTAATATTATTTTTCTCTTTTTTATATTTGGAACTTTTGATGATGTTCTTTCTATTACTATAATTCACTGTGAAATGTTTCTTATATAATAACTAATAATACTTACTCCATAAGGAATGATAGAAAAATAAAAAAAATAAAAAATAAAAATGTATAAGTGAAAATATTCTTATATATCACTCCATTTTTTTTCTTTATTGCTTGTTTCTTTCTTCAAAGTGGATTCATAAAAATAAAATAAAATGAGTATTTTAAAATTTCTCTTTACTCCAAAATATGCACCTCAAATTATATTCAAGATTGAGGGAGACATTGAAATAATTATTTTTTTTTTGATTTGGAATGTGTAAGAAAAATGCATATATATATAGGAAATAAAAAATAAGAAAGACTGGAGATTTTTTTCTTTTTTTTTTAATACAGCTAATTCACCTAAACTTGGATTCACTAAACACAATCTAGATTAACTTATATGCAGACCTAGCAATTCATCAAAATAATGGATACTTGACCCTAACATGACTCGGATTATTATGTAATCAATGCATGTGTTTGAGCTAATTTTATTTTAAAATTATGAATATCTAAACATATTAACATGTGTAAATATACGATATAAAATAAAATAATGGCTTCGTTCATACAATATATATTAACATAATTAAGAAAACATTCATTACTTAGTAGTGAAAATAATGGAAAGTCCTTTAGAATGTAAATACTGAGGAAATTTCCGACGACTATGGATGCCGTAATGGAGAGAGCAGAGTCAAACGATCAAGACAAATTTGTTTATCAAATCCAAGGCATCGCCATCTCTGACGGAGAAATCATTAGGTATAATTAATTAGTTTATCACATCATTCGTAGACTTGATTCGAAGAAACAAGATACATAGACAAAATCATATGGAATAAATACATCATTAAGTGTTTCTATTGTTTATATGTTTGTTTTTATTGGTCTAATATATGAACAATAAAAACATCATTAGGTGTTTTTATTGTTTATATGTCTTGTTTTTATGAAAGATACATATAGTGAGTAAATTATAAATTAGTCTCTCTCATTTTCAAAAACGAATTAATTAATCCCTTTGATTTTAAATACTAATGATTTATTTTTTTCTATTTTTAATTATTTTGATTTTTTGTTTAAAAAAATAGAAAAGAAATATTAAATAAATAAATATACGAAAATATTAATGAGAAAAGAAGACATTTTATAAAATAGAAAAAATGTTAAATTAGCCGTGATCAATATTGGTTAAAAAGACTAAATAATTAGTTTTAGAAATCGAGTAATTAATTAATTCGTTTCTCAAAAGAAAAGGGACAAATTTATAATTTACTCAAGATATATATAGTAGACTAATTAAGTTTAGTTTACAATTTATCCCTTAAATAGGATCATCAAGGGAAGAGTTAGGGGGTGTTTGATAACCTAATTAAGTAGCTTAAAAAATTAAGTTGTACTACGTAATATAAAAATCTTGTTTGATAACTTAAATGATCTCATATTAAAACTTTAAGTTCAGTTAGAATCTATTTAATCGGATAAATTAAAATTTTTAACGTATCCGATTAAGTGAAACGATCTAAAACATTCTCTCTCTCTCTCTCTCTCTCTCTCTCTCTCTCTCTCTCTATATATATATATATATATATATATATATATATATATATATATATATCCGAATTTATAAATTATAATAATATATTTTTTAAAAAATAAAACATCGACGTTATAAAATTTTATTCCAAAATTCATATATTAAAAAATCAAATTTATTAACAAATAAAATTATATCAATTTGATGAGAATTTTAGTAAGAAAAACATAATTTGAAAAAAATAAATTTTAAACAATAAGAATAATATAATCGGATACATATATTCAAACTAAAATCTTAAAAAATATCATATATATTCTATCATCTTTAAACATGCGTATTATATTCAGTACTTAATTTTCAGCAAATACCAAACAGACTTGTCAAAAACATATTCAAGTACTTAACGGATTAAGCACTTAAAATTCAGTACTTAATAGATTCAACACTTAATTAAACTTATTTTTATGTCTGTTTTTATCAATAAACATTAAACTTATTATTTTTAAATTAAATTAACATTTAAATACTTTTAATTTTTGATTGGTTACTGTTTTTTAATTAAATGAATTCAAATTTGATATCCTTGTATGGTTGAACACATGAGAAAGGCTGTGCAGCTCATCTCGCAGCAGTGATTGGGATGCATGTTAGTGATAGCTAAAAATCAGGTCAAGTTTAATCACACACCACCATCATCACAAGCTACTCCCTTCCAAGAGCAAATATCTGTGTTCAGGTCACCCCACAACACAACGTTGGAAGAAGATAGATACAAGGAGAGGTAATTAACAAGGCTTTGTTGCAGTTGTGCCAAAGCATATCTATGGTGGTCGAGGAATTGGTGGTGGGTAGCTTTTGGTGTTTTGGAGAAATGAGATGAAAACAATTAGCCTTGTTTGGCAGGATGAGAGTAATAAAAAAAGTGACGAGATTAAATGATGAAGGTCTCTCATCTCTGTTTTTCTCTAAAGAAAAAAAAATGGTAGAAAGTAGAGAATTGGACAAATGAGATTTTACCTTAATTGAACAAGAAATTTCATTTAAAAAAATAAATTAAAACCATGTATAAATAAATAAAATTGAACAAAACTCACACATCTAAATTGAATTTTTTTGAAACTTAATCGTATGAATCTCTTCCATTGTATAAATAAATAAAATTGAATCTTTTTGAAACTTAATCAACGAGAAGCACACATCTAAACGGAAAAATAACTTAAAACATAGTAACCTGTCTCTTTCTTTCAAGCAATTCTTATAGCCTCTTCTTAGGCAAGCTATTAATATGTGATTTATCTGGCATCTTCAGAGACCTTTATTCCAGTCTCCGAACCCTCTACAATCCATTTAATATTAAACCTGGCTCTTGGCAACGGAGGCAATTGGACATCAACAATGATTTTCTTCAAGGTACTTTCTCTGATGATGTCTACACGCTTCAGCCTCTAGCCTTTGTGCATCCGTCACTTTCCCACCATATATGCGAATTAAACAAGGCAATATATGGATTGAAACAGGCACCAGAGCCTGGTATGAAGAACTCAGGGCTTTCTTATTGCAATATGGTTATCAAAACTATGTAGTAGATTCGTCCTTATTTATCTATAATAATGCTGGTGTTTGTGCATAATTTTTGGTATATGTTGATGATATAGTATTGACAGGTAACAATGACCATTACTTATAGTCGTTCATTCAGTGCCTAGCAAAATGTTTCTCCCTTAAAGATCTTGGTATATTGCACCAATTTTTAGGAGTTGAGGTTATTCACACTACACATGGTATGTTCCTGTCTCAGCATTGCCACATAGCTAACATATTGGAAAAATTCTCCATGACTGGGGCAAAGGAGGTTAAAACACCAATGTGTCCCTCCACGCCACTACTACTTAAGGATGGCTCTTCACAGGTTAATCCAACTCAGTATAGGAAATTAGTTGGAAGTCTCCAATATCTGTCTCTAACACGTCCTGATGTATCCTTTGCAGTAAATCGACTATCTCAATACATGCACTCCTCAGCGAAGCTTCATTGGACTGCCTTAAAGAGGGTTCTTCGATACTTAAACGGAACCATTACTCACGACTTATTTCTGCGCAAGGGTACTCCTCTTCAATTGTGTGGCTTCAATGATTCTGATTAGGGTGAAAAGAGAGATAGTCGATCAACTATTGCATATATTATTTATTTGGGTTCTATTGCTATCTCTTGGAAATCAAGTAGTCAAAATCTGTGTCACGTTCATCATCTGAAGCTGAGGACAAAGCAGTAGCAAATACAGCTACTGACATTATTTGGATCCAAAATCTTCTCCTGAAATTGGGCATCAAACTTAAAAAAGCACCAACTATTTTCTGCGATAATACAAGGGCCACATATCTCTTGTGCAAATCCTGTATTTCATTCTCGCATGAAACACATTTCTCTAGATTATTATTTTGTGAGAGAATGTGTAGCCAATGGCAATCTCAAACTACTCCATATCTCTATCAAGGATCAGTTTGTAGATATACTTACAAACGCTCTAAGCAAATAGCAGTACAGTGCCTTAAGATCCAAGATTGGCGTCACCAATGGTGCCTCCATCTTGCGGGAGCGTATTATAAATATACATAAAATATAAAATTCTAATATTTGTTATATACAATTTAAATTCAACAGAGTTTGAACTGTTTATCCTTGTGTAAACCTTGCAGTATATATACTATAAGTGACTTCAATAAAATAATCATTCCAAACACATTAAGTTCCTTTAACTCACACATCTAATTCAATCTTTTTGAAACTTAATCGTATAAATCTCTTCCATCATATAAATAAATAAAATTGAATCTTTTTGAAACTTAATCAACGAAAAACATTGAAAAATAACTTAAAACATAGTAACTTGTCACTTTCTTTCAAGCAATTCTTGTAGCCTCTTCTTAGGCAAGCTATTAACATGTGATTTATCTGGCATCTTCTTTCTCTTATCGGGTATTTCAGCATCATGGCCTTGTATGTCTCCCAATTTATTTCCTTTATTCATCTTTAAAGACTTTCCTCCTTTTAATTGCTCTTTTAATCTCTTACTTACCCTTTCTTTCTCGGCCTATTCAACATGAAAGCTCACAAATTATGTCAAAACTTTTTCCGTGAGCAAATTTTCCGTCTTTGTTTCATCCCAATCGGCAGCTTCTCTTATAGCTTCCACAAGTTGTTCAAAAGAGGCATCATCACCTTCCAAAACTTCAATTCTCCTGATCATCTTAAGACAGTCTAAATCTCACCCCATGTATGTTCCACAGGTAGCAAACTATAGTAAGGGAAATTGGACAGAGAACCCAACAGTTAACCAGCCCCTCTTACCCCAGCCAAGCCCAGTTTTTCAAGATCAAGTCCAGACCAGAGCAACCAACAAAGAAATCCTCAGCTAAGGCCCAGTCCACTAGCATTTAACTTGAACCACCCAGCAGCAACACTATAGCCCGACCCAAAACTTCAACAGCTGGTCACTCCTCAGCTAAGGCACAAATCCGTCAGCATTAAACTCGCACCATCCAGCAGCAACGTGTTAGCCTCTCCCAATACTCCAGTAGCTGGACAAAACAACAAACCTGTATATCTTCTAATGGAAAAAAACATGCCTGAGGTTGTATTTGATAATATATGGCGGGAATTAGTGACTCCTCTAATAAAGAAGCTTTTCTAATGGAAAAGAACATTCCTGAGGTTATATTTGAAAGCACTCTGCCTACTACTATTGAGATATCACCAAACATAAAAAAGAAGAAAGAACCTTGCAAACCCACAGTCCCCGGATGCAGAGCTTCTTGTAAGGTCTCTCACTCCGGTCACAGCAAGAATGATAAATTAAAACATGTCATGTTAGCGTCTTTTGAAGAGAAGGGTTTGTGTTATGATCAGCCCATGGGTGCTGAATTGGAGGAAGGGATGAATTCCACTGGTCCAGTCCCTGAGGTTTAATTCTCTTTCCAGCTTCTCTTTTTATTTATGCTTGCAATGAAGATCATGATGTGGAATTGCCTAGGAATTGAAAAATCAATTTATCTAATGGCATTTTTGTGAATTATAATAATGCGTGAAGTTTAAAGAACTACTTTTAAATTAGATTTTTACATTATTTCATAGTCTTTGGAAATCAGAAAACATGATCAGAAAGTGATTGTAGCTAAGGGCTAGTCTTTAGCCTAGGAATTGAAACAGATTAACGGAGTACGTTGGAAAATCAAAGCGTTTTGCCTTCGGTATGTTAAAGCTTTATTTGACAATACAAAGAACAGAACAAAAAATTACTACAAACCAAATACATCCCTGGTACATTAAGAAAACCTTACTCTCTGGTGATTATTAATACTAATTTCACCAGCATCAACTTCATCTTCCACTTCGAACCCTCCTTTGGCCTTGCCTGAACCTTCTCCCATGCTTTCTTGCTCGCCTTTCCAGATCAATGAACCATTTGATTCTCATCTGACTGAATATTGTATATCCAATAGAAAAACCAATTACTAGTCCACTTGCATATCCCATCCCCACAATTTTCCAATCAAGTATGTACTTTGTCCATGAATCATCATCGTTAGCAATTACTGGGGGAGGCATCGGTGCTGCACCAACACCGCATTTCCTTGTCAGAGGAGGCCCACATAATCTTGGGTTCCCTTCATAGGAAGTGTTTGGAAATGTACCGAACTGGTTGCCTTGAGGAATGCTTCCCTCCAGTTGGTTGTATGAGAGATTCATTACTGCAAGGAAGGTTAGGCCTGTAAGTTGCGAAGGAATCTCACCTGAGAGTTTGTTGTTTGAGAGGTCTAATGACTCCAGCTCTGTTAGGTTCCTCATCAGTGACGGGATTTTGCTGATGAAGCTATTGTGAGACAAGTTTAGAACTTTGAGAGATTTCAGATACCTTATCTCTTCAGGAATTTCTCCATGGAATCTGTTTTGAGATAGATCAAGGCAAGTGAAGATGGTCAGTATTCTCTCCATATGCATTTCCAATCCCTTGTTCATAATAGTCAACGACTCCTTATAGTAGTAGCCGCTACTGGCGTAGTTATCTCCGACATACGTTGGCTTTGATTCATTGTTGCTAGTCACTTGCATTGCTGCTAGGCTTTGAAAAATTCTTTTGAAAGATGACCAGTAAATTCATTGGAAGATAGGTCCAGAACATGCAGCATTGGCATAATGTTCACAAGACCAAGATTCCAAATTTGACCATGAAATTTATTTGCTCGCAGTACAAGAATCTTCAATGCGGGCAGCTTTTCCAACCACAGTGGGAATGCGTCACGTATCTTGTTGTCTCCCAGGTCCAAAACCTCTAGCTGTGAACAATTGGCCAAGGATCTTGGCAACTTTCCTTCGATTTTATTGTCATTCATTTTCAACGACTGCAAATTGCATGCTTGTGAAAAACCTGGCATGGTAGTGAAGTTATTTCTCTGAAGGTTCAGCACGTTGAGGTTTTGCATATCTCCCAAACAATCTGGGATTTGACTATTTAGGTGGTTATAGGACATGTCGAGCAAAAAGAGTTCACTGAAATTGCATATAGCTTTAGGGAATGAACCATGCAATAGATTGTCACGAAGATCAAGAATCATCAAGGATACGACCGGGATGGCTGCAGGTGAAATTTGATCTAAAGAATGAAGGGAGTTCTCAGAAAGGTTTAGATTCCATATACTTGTAATATTCCATATCCAGTTGGGTATTTGACCGCTGAGTTTGTTGTGCGAAAGATCCAGTTCTAATAAGTTGCTCTGGTTCTTTAGAAACTCTGGAAAGCTACCTAAGTCACATGAACGCAGGCTCAAACTAAGTAACTGCGGAAAGGAAGAAGTTGCATCACAATTGAAGATTGACCTGCTATTGTTTAGCATGCAAAAAGGAGGATATTTGGGAAAATCAATAGGATTGTGGGAAAGGTCTAATGTTTGGAGATTTCTTTTCCATATCCAACTAGGCACATGACCTTTAATTTGGTTGTTAGAAAGATCTAGAACTATTAAACTGTTTTGTGCTTTGAGAAAATTTGGAAATTCAGTGAAGTTGCAGGATCTCAAAGTCAAAGCTTCAAGTTGGACAGAAGCAAGACTTGTGTTATCACTTTCGATTGATACTCCAGAAAGACTGAGATCTGTTATATTCCTTTGATTCTGGAAATTGCCTAGCTTCAAGGAGCCGTAGAAGTTGTTACTACTGAGATCAACCTCTACAAGCCTTGGGAGTTCACAGATTGACCTTGGTATTGGTCCTTCAAAACCATTTTGACTCAAGTCTAAGACTTCCAATAAGGAAGAAGATGCATTTGGGAACTCATTTAGCTCTCCGCTGAATTTGTTGGATGCGAGATCTAATACCTCTAAGGAAGGAAGAATGAATAGTGAAGAACAAATAGGACCAGAAAGAGCACAATTATTCAGAGTCAGGACTCTAAGGTTGGGAAGTAAAGGAGAGATGGCTTCACACCAGCTGCTACTTTGTGCTGAGAGGTCTACATCAGCTAGAATGATCTGGACTAAAAAACTCAAATTCTGGAAAACCAATTCAAGGATTGGGTTTTCAAGTTTAAGCATTGGACAATCAGGACCACTCAAGTAAAGTTGAGTCACAAGACCATCACCATTACATGCAACCCCGAGCCAAGAGCAACAATCTGTTTTCAGGTCCCACAAGTCAGCTTTTGAATAGGAATGTGTAGTAAAGGAGTATTCAAGAAGGTTTTCTTGCAGTTGTAGCAAGGAAGATCTCTGGTGATAAAGGCAATGGTGGTGGGTAGCTTTGGGAGTTGTAGACAAAGATGAAGCAAGACTACTTGGGTGGAGTAACAAGAAAAGAAGCAAGAGTAAATGATTAACATCCCTCATCTTTGTTTTCCTCCGCAGAAGTTGATACCTTAATGGTTTAGATCAATGACTGAAAATATATCGCAGAGGAGATAGAAATCAATGTTTGGGAAAACCACGATCCTTGAAGTTTCCCGTGGTCACATCAAGATCCTCATTTTTGTCGGAAAGTTTAGGTGGGGTCCCCATATTTGCCGCCTTAACTATAAAATAAGGAAAGAAGTTATCAAGGAAACTTCTGCAGCAATTGTTTATAAGCTAATTTTAATTCATCTCTAAAATTTTCAATTTTTTTTTGTATATTAATTTTAATTTTAATTCGTGTTTATAAGACATCCGGCTATCAATTATATAAATTGAAACAAATTTAATAAATATCATAAAAAAAATTTAATATTAATTTTACACTCAAATCTCAATTAAGAGTTTTTAAAGACATTTATTTCATGATAAAATGTATTGTATTTTTCTAACAGAAGCATTTAATTAAAAGTAAAAATAGTTTAATGATAAATTTGAAACAAAAACTCTTCCGTCATGTTACCAAGCATATATACTAAGCACCAAACCATAACATTTCGCTGACTCGGTCAACACGCATCTGAAATTCTAAACGAATTGGCCGTCCTAAGGGATTTTTTTTTAGCAGTAAAGAAAAAATAATTAAGAAAACATTCGTTATTTAGTAGTGACAATAATGGAAAGTCCTTTAGAATGTAAATACTAAGGAAATTTGAGATGGCTATGGATGCCGTAATGGAGAGAGCAGAGTCAAACGATCAAGACAAATTTGTTTATCAAATCCAAGGCATCGCCATCTTTGACGGAGAAATCATTAGGTATACTTAATTAGTTTATCACATCATTCGTAGACAAAATCATATGGAATGAATACATCATTAAGTGTTTCTATTGTTTATATGTTTGTTTTTATTGATCTAATATATGAACAATAAAAACATCATTAGATGTTTTTATTGTTTATATGTTTGTTTTTATTGGTCTCATTTTGAAAAACGAATTAATTAATCTCTCTAATTTTAAATACTAATTATTATTTTTTAATTATTTTGATTTTTTATTTTAAAAAATAAAAATGAAATAATAAATAAATAAATATATGAAAATATTAATGAGAAAAGAAAATATTTATTGGTCTAATATATGAAAGATACATAGAGTTGTTTGTTCTATTATTGTATTCGATAGGCCTGCATGTCCCTTGTTCCAAGGCTGCCTGCAATCTTACTTCAATTCCGTCGTCTTGATTGAAGGGATCATTCTCTTTCCAAGAAAAAAGTACCCATTAAAAAGGATTTATGTATTTTTATTTTTTGACCTAACGAAAAAGTTACATGTGGAGAAAGGTTAGCAAAAGACTCCAACTTTAGACATAACATTTCTTCATATATTTTTATTTTGGAAGATATGGAAAAGAACCTATTAAGCAAATGGTTAAATTGATTATATTCCTCAATTCACATGTCTTGTAATTTGAATAATCAGTGACAAAGGCACGTTAGTTAGTCTAATAAATGATGAAACAATATACCGGTTTGTTTCAATTTTTGTTTTTTGTTTTTTTAAGTATTTATAGGCAGTGAGAGTTATTTTTATGTCTGTTTTTATCAATAAACATTAAACTTATTACTTTAAATTAAATTAACATTTAAATACGCTTAATTTTTGATTGGTTACCGTTTTTTAATTAAATGAATTCAAATTTGATATCCTTATAGCTAGTTAATAAGAAACTTATTTTATATGGTTGAACACATAAGAAAGGCCGTGCAGCTCATCTCGCAGCAGTGAGTGGGATGTATGTTAGCGATAGCTAAAAATCAGGTCAAGTTTAATCACACACCAGCATCATCACAAGCTACTCCCTTCCAAGAGCAAATATCTGTGTTCAGGTCACCCCACCACACAACGTTGGAAGAAGATAGATCCAAGGAGAGGTAATTAACAAGGCTTTGTTGCAGTTGTGCCAAAGCATATCTTTGGTGGTCAAGGAATTGGTGGTGGGTAGCTTTTGGTGTTTTGGAGAAATGAGATGAAACGGAGGCAATTGGACATCAACAATGATTTTCTTCAAGGTAATTTCTCTGATGATGTCTACACGCTTCAGCCTCTAGGCTTTGTGCATCCATCACTTCCCCACCATATATGCAAATTAAACAAGGCAATATATGGATTGAAACAGACACCCAAAGCTTGGTATGAAGAACTCAAAGCTTTCTTATTGCAATTTGGTTATCAAAACTATGTGATAGATTTGTCCTTATTTATCCATAATAATGCTGGTGTTTGTGCATATTTTTTAGTATATGTTGATGATATAGTATTGACAGGTAGCAATGACCATTACTTGGAGTCCTTCATTCAGTGCCAAGCAAAACGTTTCTCCCCTAAAGATCTTGGTATACTGCATCAATTTTTAGGGGTTGAGGTTATTCACACTACATATGGTATGTTCCTGTCTCAGCATCACCACATAGCTGACATATTGGAAAAATTCTCCATGACTGAGGCAAAGGAGGTTAACACACCAATGTGTCCCTCCACGCCACTACTACTTAAGGATGGCTCTTTACAGGTTAATCCAACTCAGTACAGGACGTTAGTTGGAAGTCTCCAATATCTATCTCTAAAGTGTCCTGATGTATCCTTTGCAGTAAATCGACTATCTCAATACATGCACTCCCCAACAAAGCTTCACTGGACTGCCTTAAAGAGGGTTCTTTGATACTTAAAGGGAATAATTACTCATGACTTATTTCTACCCAAGGGTACTCCTCGTCAATTGTGTGGCTTCAGTGACTCTGATTGGGGTGAAAACAGAGATAGTCGGTCAACTACTGCATATATTATTTATTTGGGTTCTAATGCTATCTCCTAAAAATCAAGTAGTCAAAATCTGTGTCACGTTCATCATCTAAAGCTGAGTACAAAGCAGTACCAAATACAGCTACTGACATTATTTGGATCCAAAATCTTCTCCTGAAATTGGGCATCAAACTTAAAGAAGCATGAACTATTTTCTGCGATAATACAAGGGCCACATATCTTTGTGCAAATCATGTATTTCATTTTCGCATGAAACACATTTCTCTAGATTATTATTTTGTGAGAGAATGTGTACCCAATGGCAATCTCAAACTACTCTATATCTCTACCAAGGATCAGTTTGTAGATATACTTACAAAGGCTATAAGCAAATAGCAGTACAGTGCCTTAAGATCCAAGATTCACGTCACCAATGGTGCTCTATGCAAGAGTTTGAACTGTTTATCCTTGTGTAAACCTTGCAGTATATATACTATAAGTGACTTCAATAAAATAATCATTCCAAACACATTAAGTTCCTTTAACTCACACATCTAAATTGAATCTTTTTGAAACTTAATCGTACAATTTTTTTTAATATTAATTTTACACTCAAATCTCAATTAAGAGTTTTTATCTATTTTAAACACATTTATTTCATGATAAAATTATTATAAAAGAGATCACATCATTTCGTAGGAAATAATTTTTTTTTTAAATGATTGTAACAGAAGTATTTAATTAAAAAGTAAAAATATTTTAATGATAAAATTGAAACAAAAACTCTTCCGTCATGTTACCAAGCATATACTGAGCAGCAAACCATAAGAATGCGCTGACTCAGTCAACACGCAACATGAACCATAGCTCACCATATCAATTATATATATTGAAACAAATTTAATAAATTCTCCGGATCCAAAATTAACTCAAAAAATTTAAAAAAGGATATAAATTTTCATAAATATAAGATCAATCTGCGACGCCGCAAACCCGGACGATACGGGGGGACCAAAATTAATTTCCAAACAAAAATCAGAATAAAACGAGCACATTAAATTAAAGAGTGAGCAAATATATACATGAAGTAAAATATAATTAAGCTGCAAAAGTAATTAAAAATTAGTACATATAAAGAACTGCTGCAGAATTTTACTTGATAACCAATCTGGTTGGGTTTGGGTCGACCCGTGGATTTGAGAAATTGTTGGTTAATTAAGAAAAACTCAATAACAATTATGCAATTAACAATTACACATATGTGTTTAAAGTAAAAAAATCTTTTAAAACTATGAATACATAAATGGACATGTCTATATGTGTATAAAACTCTCTCTCTCTCTCTCTCTCTCTCTCTATATATATATATATATTAAGATAACATTCATTATTTAGTGAAAGATGACAACCACAAAATCAATTCGTTGTACCAAAAAAAAAAAAAAAAAAAAAACAACAACATAAACTTATTTTTAATGAAAAGAATTAACTAATATTATTTTTTCTCTTTTTTATATTTGGAACTTTTGATAATGTTCTTTCCATTACTATAATTAACTATGAAATGTTGCTTATATAATAACTAATAATGCTTACGCGATAAAGAATGATAGAGAAGTAGGAAACAGAAAATTAAAAAAAAATGTATAAGTAAAAATTCTTATTACTTTTTGTATATTTAGATGAGTTTTTCTTTTCTTTTCTTTATGTCTTGTTTCTATCTTCAAAGTAGATCCATAAAACAAGCATTGTTATTTACTTCATGAGTATTTTAAAATTTCTTTTTACTCCAAAATATGCACCTGGATCAAATTATATTCAAGATTGAGAGAGACATTGAAATAATTATTTTCTTTATTTGGAATGTGTAAGAAAAAAATGCATAGATTGTGGGCAGTCAAACATTAAAAAAAAAAAAAAAAAAAAAAAGAACAACAACTTAGGCATTCAAAAAGAAGAATTTACTCAAATTACTGTTATCTCAAACAAAAATTATAATTTAGTACAAAGTTAGTAATAAGAAAATGATAAAAATGAGTGAATATTGATTAGGATCTCTTTCTTCTTTTTTTTTTTTCCACCACAGAAAAAATGACACAAGCAAAGACTAAGATTTTTTTTTTTTTTTGTTCGTTGAAAATCAAGATTAGATTATCATTAAAAAGATAGTCAGTTAGTAGTTGACAAAATTTACAATGCTGGGATACATTTGAGATGTACTAATAAGAAGTATATAAAAAAAAAAAAATTAAAACCAAACTATAAAATCATTATTTCTATGTTGATTATTGTTGGCTAAAGAATATGCCACTGCAATATTTTCTTCTCAAAGAATATGATTAAATGAAATATGCCTTAAAAGAATTGATAAAAAAACATGAATAGAGCAAAGACCAAGACTTATGCAGAGAGGAAGAATCATGCAGACCAGCAATTACGGTAGAAAGAAATGTTGGATGACTTACGCATAGACCAAGACTTATGCAGACCAGCGATTACTGTTTTTAACATACTTTTTTGGTTTTGTAGGACATATGATGTTGTCGTGTAACGATGAAATCTTTTTCTCTCAAAAAGGAAATAATGGTGTTAGGTAGGTAAAGATTAGAAGGAAATGTTGCAAGATCAGTTTTGCAGAGAACAAGACTTGTAATACCGCGTTTTGTTTTTCCTATAATTTTCCATGTTCCCTCTATCGATCTTTAACAAAAAGAAAAGGCATATCACATCACGATCCTTGGTAAACGAAAGGGCAAAAGTCAGGCGTACGTGAGAAGCAAGGTCCCATGCATGCTTTTCTGGTTGTGTAGGAAATGGTGCATGACGCATAATAATATCGAATGTATTTTACGTTTTGTAAGAATGAATAAATATTATTCATTCAACCTTGGCTCCGGTGTCCATATATAGGAAATAAAAAGTAAGAAACGGTGAAAAAAAAAAAAGGAAATGTAAAATGATTTGGTCAAGTTGATCTCAATCAAATTCATTTAAACTTCGATCCATTAAACACAATCTAGAACCTGTTTGTAGATCTAGCAATTCGTCAAATTAATTGATACTTGACTCTAATATGACTCTGGTGGATTCGGATTAACTCACAAATTTGACAAATTGTTTGCTAACTAAGAAAAATTCAATAATAATTATTATGTAATCAATACATGTGTTTGAGCTAATTTTAGTTTAAAATTATGAGTATCTAAACGCATGTGTGTGCAAATATATGATGTAAAATAACATAATGATTTCGTTCATAAAATATATATTAACGTTATTAATAAAACATTCATTATTTAGTAGGGAAAATAATGGAAAGTATTTTTTAATGTAAATACGGAGGAAATTTCCTATCTCATGACTTTTGAAACATATATATATATATATATATATAGATTGGATGCCGTAATGGAGAGAGCAGACTCAAAAGATCAAGACAAATTTGGAGATAGAGATGTTGACAGCATCGCCATCTTTGACAGAGAAATGGTTAGGCATTTATATTTATTAATATTATAAATTAAAGGAAAATGCTTTTTCACTGTAGCCATAAACAGTAATTATCATTTTTAATTGTTATGCTTTATTTTTAACAAGAGGGACAAATTTATTCGTAGACTTGGTTCAAAAAACCAATATACAGAGATAAAATCATATGGAATGCATACATCATCAGGTTTTTCTATTGTTTATATGTCTTGTTTTTATTGGTTTAATATATAAAAGATATATATAGTGAGTAAATTATAAATTAGTCTTGCTCGCATCGAAAAACTAATTAATTAATTCCTCTGATTTTAAATACTAGTTATTTATTTTTTTGTCTATTTTTAATTATTTTGATTTTTTTAAGAAATAAAAAAGGAATACAAAATAAATAAATAAATATTAATGAGAAAAGAAGACATTTTATAAAATAAAAAAATTAAATTAGTCGTGGTCAACATTTATAAGAAAAACTAAATAATTAGTTTTTGAAACCAAAATGCTAATTAATTAATTTTTTTCTAAACAAGAGGAACACATTTATAATTTACTCAAGATATATAGAGTAGACATAGTGAGTAAGTTATAAATTAGCCCCTCTCACTTCAAAAAAAAAAAAAAAAAAAAAATTAATTAGTCTCTTTAGTTTTAAATACTAATTATTTAGTTCTTTTCGTCATTTTTTAATTTAATTTATTTTTTATTTTAAAAAATGAAAAAAACAAAAAAAAATGAAAATGTTTATGAAAAAAGAAGGCACGTTTTATAAAATAAAAAAATTAAATTATTCATTATCAAAATTGGTTAAAAAGACTAATTAAATAATTAATTTTTGAAACCATAGTGATTAATTAATTTGTTTTTCGAAACAAGAGGGACAAATTTATAATTTACTAAAGATATATATAGTAGAGTAATTAAGTTTACTCTACAATTTATCCCTTAAATAGGATCATCAAGGAAAGAGTTAGTATAATAATATAATCATACATGATGTTGAAGAACATAATCACTGAAGGTTGAAATATATATATATACACACACACACACTTTCGAAAAGCTCAATTAATTAAGTCAATTAAACCATGATTTTCTGATCAACTTAGCAATCGATCATGAAAATCTAAAATGAATAGCATTAATTCTTGCCTAACTAACTATTTTTATATAGTTTCCACAGTACTTCTATCGTAACTATATATATATATAGTTCTTGCTTTTCCCATGGTTTTGGGCAGTTTAGTTTCGGAGTACTGAAGTCATCGCGAGTCAACTCATAAGTCTTGTTGGCATCCATTGCTTTGTTTAACAAAATGATAAACACTTTTGCATTATCTAGTAATCAACTGTATTAGGGCTATCTCTATAAAAGACATTAATTACTTAAATATCAATCTAAAATTCTTAAAATCCATATTCCATAATTAATAATCTTCATAACAATATTTGACAGAAAAAATGTTATTCATTGTTAGCATAAACCTATTGCTATCACTTTATCACCTGGAAAGGGTAATCATTTTTCTACGCTCTGACGGTCAGCTTTCGAATTTCATTGGCCGCCGTAAGTTAGAAACCAGAAAATCTTACAGTGAAAAAGAAGAAGATGTTGATGGCTATCGACTTAGTGATGTAAGGAAAAGGAGAAGAAGGGTGTTGTTAACAAAATCTGAAAATGTGTGAGAAATATAATACTCACGAGAAAAAAGAGTAAAACCGGTTTTTTTCTTACATTGATCTAAGGAGATCGCTAAGAGTTGATACGGTGAATATCTACAATAAGGTGCATATGCAGAGGATATTTTTTGGCAAAAAATAATTGGTTCTTAATTAACAAGGTAATTAATAAGGTTTTGTTGCAGTTCTGCCAAAGCCTATAACTTTGGTGCTTAAGGCGTTGGTGGTGGGTAGCTTTCGGTGTTTTAGAAAAATGAGATGAAAGCAATTAGCCTTGTTTAGCAGGATGAGAGTAATAATAAAGTGATGAGATTATTAAATGATGAAGCTCTCTCATCTCCCCTGTCATAACCGAATCATAACTCGCACCACCTAGAATCAAGATAATGGCAAATAAGAAAAAAATTCACTCTCCTGAAAACCATAAACATTTCAAATAATTTAGATTAGCCCAGTTATATCACTCATAATGTGTGGTATTTGTGCAGAGGTAACAAACGGATGGTCAAAGAAGGAGAATCCAACTACATCAGAAATACCAAAAAAAGGGAAAAACAGGGCATCAGAAGCAGCAGCAACGTGACATGCTCTAACAATTATCTCTTTCTGAAAAAAAAAAAAAAAAAAAAAGGCGAAGAGTCTGAATAAAACCTGAGCAAAATGCGAAACAATCACCTTGAAGATTTTCGAGTTCCTAACCAACATTTTTTCTCAAGTTTCGCATACCCTGAGAAAACTACCAAAATTTTCAGCAAAAGCATATGAGAAATGGTAATAACATTGAAAACTACCAAAATGATGACAGGAACTCCCCTGTTAAGAGACAGGATTGAACTGAATTAAAAGGCAGTGCCACTATTATCTTCATAATCAAATTATACCAGCATCACATAAAGAACAAATCAGAAAGAAAACTTACCCTAGAGTAGCCTTTTCTTCGAACTGCAAATGGGCTAAAAAATTATCTCACTAAGTTGCTAATCTCATTTTCCTGTGTAATTTTGAGGAAAATTAAGAAGCATACTGACTGACATTATTCCTGAATAGCTTGTGATTTTTCACCACGTATGTATTTCAAAAAAAAAAAAAAAATTGAGATTCTTTACTGAAAGGCAAAGCATGAACAGAAGATGTTAGTAATGTCTATGAAGCCTTCTAACAGGCAGTCAATCTGCATATATAATCAGTCAAAGCAATAAACTAAGATGTTTTATAAGCATTAATTTGAAATAAGCGTAAGATTAAAAGAAAGCAACAAGAGATTAGAAGACTAGAACACAATCTGAATAGGCAGAGTAATGACTTACTAGATAATTAAAGATAAAAAGTAGTTTCTGTATTACTATAACATAGGGAAACCTGAAACTTAAAGTATTAAAATAGAATGATCAGAGACCTTTCTAGGATGATATTCGTTGTAGTTTAAGAGGAAAAAGAGATCAGATAAACTAAGAATTATTGCATCCGTGCTGGAGATGGGCATTCTGTGGGCGTTTGCACGTCGAGACTAGTGTAGGCCACCAAGGGAGCTTGATTGAGATGACATTTTCGCAAGCGAGGAATGTATGTTCATACGGAATCTTATCAATGACTTCCAGCTCTCCGCTTTGGATGTTGAACGAGATGATGTGGTAAGAGGCCCCCAAGTATCCTTTTCTGCCTCTCTACAAAATCGCTAACCCAAATTTCCTTGGAGATCATACTGCTAAAGCAAATATTTAGTACAAAACTGAATCTTCTAGACTCATAGTCCTTGAGCTCCCAAACACTGAGATGATTAGAAGGGGCTAGACCATAGTAATGAGAAAAGACGCCATTGCTTAGTGAATGGATTACTGATATAGTAATGAGTAATATCATAGTCCTCGGTTTTCACTATGCAGAAGAGTAAATCATTACAGGAAGCCTCAACAGAAATATTAAGATCAATGTCCTTTCCCTGTGGAAGGAATTCTAACGTGAATCCCTTAGGAGATTCCTCCTGATCAGTACCAGTTGTCAAAAAACAAAGCCTTGGATCTCTATATCTACGAATAAAGAGGAAAGGGGGATTGCGGTAGGCAGCAGCATAAGAAGAATAATTTTTAGTCAGCTTGATACGGTGGCATATAAACTTGTAAACAAAAAAGGGTTTCTCGAGTAAAGAACACCAACATTTGGAGACCAACTTTGAAGAAAAGACCAACTTTGCTGTTGGAAGTCGAACGAGAATGTTAAACAACAGATCAGCACTCAGATTGTCAAGAGAGACATTAATATTAGTTAATTTTGTTGATGATGATTC